AATGGAGGCTGATCCACAACTGCCATCCAACAGGCCGATCAGGGAGCCGTGGGCATCCAGGATGCCGTAACGGAGAGCTTCCCTCTGGGTGATCAGTGACACTCTCCCGTAGGCATCCACTCTGGGGGCTTCTGCTTCACCCCTCACTGCCGAACCTGCCCTTATGCCTCTCTTCCCCCACTCCCCTTTTCTGATGAAAAAAGAAAGCGCACTAAAATACTCTACATTTTTACTGTGCAGGTCAAAGAAACCGGGGCGAGGTGGGGAAAGAACCCGGGAGAGGGGAGGAGGGAGGGTGGAAGAAGGAGGGCGCTGAGAACCTTGCAGGGGGGACGAAGGAGCTGAAAGGGAGAGGAAGGGGGAGGAGAGGCTCAGGGTTGGGGCTGGGAGTGGTGCCGGGCTCTGTGGATCCCACCGCCATGCGTGCGGGGGCCTCGGGGGGATGGGGAGGGTGGGGAGGGGGAAGTGGGAAGGGTCAAGTGCATTGATGCCTCTTAGCCAGTGAGGGTAAGGAATGGGGTCCCCAGCCTCTGTTTGTCAGATGGTGGAGCTGGATGGCAGGAGAGAGATCCCTGGATGATTCCCGGTTCGGTTCACTCCCTCTGGGGCAACTGGCGTTCGTGTGTCAGAATCCCCCTGAGAGGGACCCGTCTGACCTTCCAGCCTCTCTCTGGACACCCCAAAGTCACAACCCCCCAGTGACTCCTGCCTCCACCACGGCCCCCGGTCACCTGGTCCCCTGGCTCCATGTTCCATCTCTTCAACTTAGTCCCAGATGGGCTATTGCTGATTTTAGCTTCTGGCTCTTGGGTCTCGTCCTGCCTTAGCCCATGAGGGTGAAGAGCCACCTGCCCTCAGAAACTCCCTCCCCCTGGAGGTCCCTACAGGCCAGTGCTGAGTCTGGTTTTACCTACACTCATCTTGGGAGTTGACCTTGTCCAACGTACCTAACGCCTAACATGCTGGTAACAACTCGGTCAATTCCGGTATTGGACAGTGAACTTGACAACAGCTGTTTGAGCACTCGCCCTGGATTTCTTCATTAGCGTTTTCTCACAAAATCCCTTTCTTGGCCAGCAACAGTGGGTAGAAGGAGCCAACCTTTATGTCTAGCAAAACTTACTATTTTGTCAACTAATTAGGTGGAAATTCCAGCGCACCAGGTTTCATTCATTAACTCCCAGCTCCGTGTCACCTGGTTTTAACAAGGGTGATTTCAGCTGGGTCCTTAGGTTATATCAAAGTCTTTTTTTAGATTAGACTAATCTAATGTCTGTGTCGGGTTCCTTGCACCTTTCACATGATAAGAAAGACGAGGAGATTGCAACTAACTCTCTTTATACTAAACCAAAACTGAAACTCACTGCTGTTAAGTGGCTGTCAGATATTTAGAAAAACCAGTTTTTTTCAATGCCTTGGCTGTATGCCCAGCCTGGGGAAAGATGCAAATACTCCCTCCCTGCTCTTTTATTGTTCATACAGTTAAACTTAAATAGTTCCACAATTAGTAACTTTGTCGGCACTAATAGATGAGCTTGCTTACATGGAGAAAATCATTAAACCTGTGGGCATGCTTACTTAAGTGACTGGCCATTCATAAAAAGATGGAAAAAAAAAACCTGGTTCCTTTCAAATCAGATTTGCTTTCACAAGCCACATAGAATCTTAGAATCCTTGAATCCCGGGGCCGGAAGAGACCTCAGGAGTCATCGAGTCCAGCCCCTGCCCAAGGCAGGACCAACCCAACTCAACCATCCCAGCCAGGGCTTGGTCAAGCCAGGACTGAAACACCCCTAGGGATGGAGATTCCAGCCCCGCCCTAAGGAATCCAGCCCAGCGCTTCCCCACCCACCTAGGGAAATCGTTTTTCCTAATCTCCAATCAAGACCTCTCCCACTGCGAGTTGAGCCCATTGCTCCTTGTTCTGCCACCTGCCCCCACTGAGAACAGCCTCTCGCCAGCCTCTTTGGACCCCCCTGCAGGAAGTTGAAGGCTGCTCTCAAGTCCCCCCTTCGCTCGTCTCTTCTGCAGACTAAACAAACCCAAATCCCTCAGCCTCTCCTCGTAGGTCGTGTGCTCCAGCCGCATAATAATTTTGGTTGCCTTCTCAGACGATCCCCAGCCTGTACCAATGTTTGGGATTCTTCCGTCCCAAGGGCAGGACTCTGCACTTCTTGCTGAACCTCCTCCGATTTCATTTGGCTCAATCCCTCAATTTGTCCAGGCCACTCTGGACCCGATCCCTGCCCCCAGCGTGTCAACCTCTCTCTCTAGTGTCATCCACCAACTTGCTGAAGGTGCAGCCCCTCCCCTCATCTGGGCCATTCAGGAAGATGTTGAACAAAATCGGCCCCAGAAATGATCGGGGCTCTTGCAACACCTAAATATGATACAAAACCAGCTCCGGTGTTTGACCAAAACACATGGCTCGTGCATGTTAGAGCAGCCCGGGGTGCCACTCCTGTTTGCTGGGAGCCACGGCCGATGGGAGCTTCAGGGGTGGGGCTGGTGGGGGGCTGAGGTACATTCTGCCTGGTGCCCACACCCGGATCACATCCTTGGCCCAAACCTTCTTCCCCAGCCCTGGTTCCCCTCCTGCCTTCTGAACCCCTGGGTCGCAGTCCTGATGCCTGCCCTACACCCTGTCAAAGTCAGACAGGACTCACAGATTTGTCAGACCGCTCTGTTTATTATCAAAGCCGCTCTGCTAAATGCTCCCAGAAAACGTGAGTGCCATACAAGGTTCAAACCCCTTGATTTATACAGGCAAAAGAAAGCCAAGTTAACAGGGGCCCATGTGTGTTACCACCCACATTCATGAAGACAAAATAGTCACGGGGCCAACTTGGCTAATGGTGGGATGTGACCCGTGTGTCTGGCACCCTGGTGTCCTGGATGCAGAGAGCGATGTAACTGATTGAAAACTGCCAGTAACAGTCGGTGTTGCAATAGGCCTGGGCTCTCTGCAATTGACATGCAATTCACAGGGTTGTTTCCTTCAAGGCACAGGGTGTCCGGGCTCTCATTGATCAACCTCCACCCTGCATGTCCCTGGGTAGCACTTCCCTTGGCCTCGACATCAGGAGACATCAGGAGACATCAGGAGAAGTGCCAGCTCCTGGTGCACCCCCTCCCCCGACCTGAGCCCTGTGCCCATATCTTCACCCCTTTTTCCAGGACGTGAGTTCCCTTCAGAGGAGGGTTTCTGCGAGCCCAGAAGAACAGCCCCAGCCGCTCGTTCCACAGCTGGGACCTTTGGGAGGGACTAGCCAGAGACACAGGACTTTATACCAATTGGGAACGGGAGACACAGGGACGGTCCGTCTAAATGAAACCCATTTTTGAGAAAGGGATGTAGATTAGGAGCATGGATATTACAAATGAAACCAAGATTTACATATCCCGTGCTTCATGTGTATAATGGAGGGGAGCCCCTTTTTCTGAAGCAGGACTTTTTTGGGAAAAAACAGCAATTTAGAGGGGATCTGTTCAACATTTTGCCCTTTTTTGCAAGATCTCTTTTGCCTCACAAAACGAGGTTTATAGGAACTTTCGAAAAAGGGCTTGCTGTTCGAAAGAACCCGTCTAAACTGCCGTTTCTTCCCGAAAAAGCTCCGTTTCGGAAAAGAGCAGCCGCCGCCATTATGCAAATGAAGCGTGGGATATATTAATCCCAGGTTCATTTGCGATATCGACAGGCCTAGTCTCCATCCCTTTCTCGGAAAAGGGGTGCCGTTTAGACCGACCGACGCTGAGTCACCCACTCCCACCCGGTACGAAGTCCCGCGTCTCCGGCTAGTCCCCGCCAAAGGTCACAGCTGTGGAACGGGCAACTGGGGTTGTTCTGTGGGGCTTGCCAAAACCCTCCCCTAAAAGGAGCTTATGTTATAGCAGAGACAGCTGGGAACAAGGAGCAGGAGTTGATTGAGTCTTTATTGGGCTGATCCTGCCCTGCCAACGCAGGGATTTTCCTGCACTGAACTTTGCTCAGCTTGTGACTAACTCTCAATATGGTACCTGTCAGAGCCCTGGAGAGCTCAGTGCAGCCTGGGACACAGGACCGGCTGCGTCGCCTCATCTCCCAGGTGACAGGGTTCTACCCCGGAGCAGAGGGAACAGGTGCCCCGGGAGAGCAGCGGAGAAGTGCCCAACGTGGCCCCACCTTCCAGATCCAGGTGTGCATTGTGCAGGGATAGGATGGGGCCGGCCCCTCAGGACACGTGTGTGTGGTGAGACACAGCAGCCTGGGGAGCACTCCCCTGAGGGTGACCTGGAGGATGTGCAGGGGGAGCAGTGGGGTGAGGTTGGGAATGAGGCACCTACTCATGGGAAGAGCATGGACACAAGGGGTGGGGGGATGAGAGGCTGGAAATGCAGGGAGGGAGTTTTGGGAGCACCGGGACTGTTGGACAGAGAGTGGCACTGGGGGGGGGGGGGGAAGAGGTGGATTGTAGTGCAGTGGGACCCTGGGCCAGAGCAAGTGGGGTCCCCTCCCCCTCCTCCCTGCTTGGAGTCCCCAGTACTCCTGCCAGGGAGTGGGGTCAAAGCACAGGGGTATCTCTGGTCCGCAGACAGAGCTCTGGGTGAGCCCCACACCCCCACCCTGCTCCCAAGCAGAAGGATGGGTGGTTGGAGTGGGTTGGGGCAAAGAGGATCCCCAATTGCCAGGTGCTGCTGGGGATAGGTGTCGCTGGCCCAGTGGACAATCCACCGTTGGCGGATGGGGATGCAGTGAGGGGCTTTGCTTGGCTCAGAGGGGGAGGAGGCAGAGAGCAGCTTGGGGGGTGGCAGAGAGGAGGGGTAGAGTTGTGGGACAGCCACATGGGTTACTGGATGGAGCAGACTGGTGGGGGGAGGGGAATGCTAGCCGAGGGAGCAGTTGACGGGTGCCGAGAGGTCGTCTCTTGGACAAGGAGGGACACAGAGTTTGGAGAAGGGTCCATAGCTCTGTCTGTCTCGGGGCATTTACAGATTCCCAGCCCACGGGCCAGGCTGGTACCATGGCAAACGCATATGGCAGCCCCCTCTCTTCCCTGGGATTTGGGACTAGCATCTCGTATATGATGAGGAATCTAGGTAAGTGATGTCCCCTTCTCATGTCTGGTATCTGCACTACCTATGGTTCCAGTAGCCGGCCGGCTCCTGTTCCCTGCCCTCTGGAGGAATGTCTGCCCTGGGCTTTTCGTCCGGGTGCCAGGATCCCAAACCAGTTCCTCATCCCTTGCTCGCTGCCCTGAGACACAGCCTGGTTAGGAAGAGGGGAACTGAGCCAAGGCAGCGCCCGCGTTCTCCACCAATAGGATGCTGGCGCTGAAGATGCGCCTGGCGCCAGGTGTGCAGGCTCCAGACAGGTCCCTCATGCTCCGGTGAGGATGCCCCATTCTAGAGGGACTTTCCCATGGGGCTATTTCCTCCAGGGAGATATTGTCTCCCAGACACCCCGCTCCCCCAGCCAGGCAGCAGCCAGACATGCAGCGGCAGAGCTAGGAGAGGAAATTTGGATGGGTGGTTAATGAAGAGGTGTAGAGCGTAGTGGGGAGAGAGGGTCCTGAACCCTGGCCCCCTCTAGCCCACCCTTATTGCTCAGCAGGCACCAGAAGATGAAGCCACACGGGCTGGGGGGAGCACCCCAGGGCAGGGGAGAGCCCTACAGGGACTCTATACCCACCCACCCCTCCATGGTGACCAGGTCTCCGGTGTTTGACCAAAACACATGGCTCGTGCATGTTAGAGCAGCCCGGGGTGCCACTCCTGTTTGCTGGGAGCCACGGCCGATGGGAGCTTCAGGGGTGGGGCTGGTGGGGGGCTGAGGTACATTCTGCCTGGTGCCCACACCCGGATCACATCCTTGGCCCAAACCTTCTTCCCCAGCCCTGGTTCCCCTCCTGCCTTCTGAACCCCTGGGTCGCAGTCCTGATGCCTGCCCTACACCCTGTCAAAGTCAGACAGGACTCACAGATTTGTCAGACCGCTCTGTTTATTATCAAAGCCGCTCTGCTAAATGCTCCCAGAAAACGTGAGTGCCATACAAGGTTCAAACCCCTTGATTTATACAGGCAAAAGAAAGCCAAGTTAACAGGATTAAAAGAGGGGCAAAACTTCACATGATTAGTGTGAGGCTAGTCAAGTATCTTCATTTCCACATCAAGCACACAGCAATCTCCTGTCCATGTCTCCTTGGTTATCTCACTTGCTTTCTTCCTAACACCTAATGTTCCTTTTCCTATTAACTCAGGCCCACCCGGCTAGCACTCTGATCTGCATACCTACAAACAACATTAACGTACTTTTCTTCTTCCTGTTCAGAGACAAACAGTATTCCTTCAACGTATTCAATTATTACAGCATAATTCATCTTTCTCTTAGGCTACGTCTACACTCGCACGATTTTCCGAAAATGCTTTTAACGGAAAAGTTTTCTGTTAAAA